GCGCTTCAGGGGGAGGGCTGGGTCGTGCTTAGGGCAGCTCAGCGCTTCAGGGGGAGGGCTGGGTCGTGCTTAGGGCAGCTCAGGGCTTCAGGGGGAGGGCTGGGTCGTGCTTCAGGGCAGCTCAGGGCTTCAGGGGGAGGGCTGGGTCGTGCTTAGGGCAGCTCAGGGCTTCAGGGGGAGGGCTGGGTCGTGCTTAGGGCAGCTCAGGGCTTCAGGGGGAGGGCTGGGTCGTGCTTAGGGCAGCTCAGCGCTTCAGGGGGAGGGCTGGGACGGGCTTAGGGCAGCTCAGCGCCCTATTTCTTCCGTAAATGAATCACAGCTATGATGGGAATATTGAGAAACATTGGCAGTACAAGGGAGAGCGCTGTATACTCGCTTTTTGCTCGTAACCCTATAATGATGGTACCAGAAATCTCTGGCTGTCACTCAGTGACTTCTGCCAACAGTCCAGCCATTTGGCCGGGGAGTCCACTACATGTATCGGAACTCTCATTCAACTCTCTAGTGCATCGTGACGCCTATAGCTGTGCCCGTAATGATCTGTTTTTTCAGCTATAGGCATTCTCGGCTGTAAGAGGTTAAACTCCCCTTGCCTGGTCTACTATATCTTCACCTCATGTTCCAGCTGGAGAAAGTCAAGACAAGTGACAATTTTACCCACATCTTGCCTTAAGCATTATTCCAGACAAGCCAGGCATAGGGTGTTGTTAGTGGGAATTGTGATGGTTATCCTCCATTCCTTACTGGATCGCAGAGGGTATAATTTCATGGCCTTGACCAAGAGCTGATGATGAACTACATCTGGCTTGTACTGGTGGAAAAACATACGAAGCATGGTATTGTTTGTAGAATTCTTGCCGATTACCTGGTCTCTTGCTTCACTCTTTCATGTCTCGCCACAGCCACTCAATGATCTGTGTGGGGGTCTTCAGGTTTTTGGAATCCACAAAGCATTTGAAGTAGTTTATGACTTGGTGTTCATAGCCATGATCACGTATGGTTTGGAACGCATCACTTTTTTATGATATTTTGCAATGAAAATAGTTATTCTCACACCTGACACTGCCTAGCCATGTTGGCACTGATTTGAATTTTAACTGTCTTCTCCTAGGCCCATCTTCTGTTGTCACATGATGATCCATTTCATATGTGATTGGTTCTATTAATAGAACCAATCACATAAAATGGATAGAGTTACGTCAAGTGGTATTTATGAATTTTTTCAATGTTGGTGGCAGTTCCCCCCAAAACCCCTACTACTGCTCCTCCAAACCCTTGCATTCTAGCAGGGGCTATCTTTGGTTAGTGGTTCTCAAGAAAAATCTGGTGATCCTAAATTTTAGGTCGTAATGTTACCAAGATCTATGATTTATTTTGCCTCTATTATGTATAATCCTTCACTTTATAGATGAGACTATGAATTGAAATTAAATAACTCTTACATTCATTAACATATCCCTGTAATTCAATCACCATTAAATCTTGTTACTAATACTCAGTTTGAAGTGACAGTGCAAAGTTGATTGACATGGCAAGTGGTTACTAGGGCACCAAGTGGAGGGAATGGAATTGACAAGTCTAATGGCAGGAAGGTGAGCCTTTGAAAGATCAGGTATAGGCTATATGGAGGATACCAGATTATCAATTAGATAGAAGGTGAAGACATTAACACAGTCATTTGTTAAAGTCAGTTAAACAGTATAACTTTGGAAGGGTAACTTCGAAGTATTTTTTGTTTTAATTTTTACTCTTGCCACTGATTATGTACCGTTTGTTTATTTAATAATACATGTTTAGGAGAACAATCATCACTATCTTTGTCACTCTTGAAAGAGGCCTGGCCTTAAGCAGACCCCTACATTTGAAGGCTTGCTACTAAAAATTAGGGTGACAGAGCAGTTACCAAAGGGCCAATAACACTTCTAGATTCCAAGCTAAAGTCAGCCATTTAGATATCTGAATCTGCCCTTTATATTTTTAGTTGAATTACAGAGATTTCTTAACTTAATTAGCAAGCAAATTCCTTGCATTAAGACACTGTAAATCTTTCTTTTTTTTTTTTTTTTTTTTTTCACTTCACTCAATACTTCAATTTTATCATTTTTTATGTTGAGAGCTAACCTATTGTTATTCCGTGCAGGCTCCAGTTTTTATGCTGAAAGCTAACCTATTGTTATTCCTTGCAGGCTCCAGTCATGAAGTCCATTGCAGAAATTGCAAGAGAAAAACTGAGGAAACTTGAGCAGATGGTCCACCCAGCCAAGCCAGACCCAGGATCGAAGAAAATCAAGAATGGCCAAGTGCTGATTAGGAAGCAGAGCAAGGTGGGTGCCTTGGTCCCCAGGCGTGGCCTCCGTTGCACACAATCAGAATGGGCTCAAGGTGTTCTAGGGATTGCAGCTGGAGGCTTTGTTTCTGTGGATGTGTTTATTTATTTATTTACTTATTTATTTATATTTGATTATATATTTACCTATTTTTTTACTTATTTATTTGAATATATTAATTTGTTTATTTAATCCTTGATGCTGGTTGACAGCCTCAAGAGCTCTGACACCTTTAACCCTTTGATTGTGCAATTTTTCTTGTCCAAGGGCAACGGAATGAATGTTTGCTCTTGAAGCATGCAGCTTTCCAAATTATAAGTTGATTTTTGTTGTTGCCCACAGTAGGCAGCACCTACATGGTTTGAAAAATGCAAGGATGGTTCTGCTCCCCACTGTTAAAGTAATTGCACTTTTCATAGTTAAAGATGAATTACATTTCAGCAGATATAGCTGCTTTTTGCAGTTCAAGGGTTGAATAGTAGCCAGTGATAGGAGACATATAGATATAGATATGTATATTTGTATTTATGTTTGTAATTGTATTTATATTTTTCTGCACTGAGTTTTACCGTCCACTTCAAAAGCTTTCATCCCAAAGCCCGGCTGTTCATGGCTAATGTCTTTAAAAGCTACATGATACACCAAAGTTAATCCCTTGCATACATATTTTTTATTGATGTTTTTGTTACTCACTTTTGTAGGGGGAAAGTTGATCAGGTTTCATTTTTGAGTTATTCTTGCCCCCCCAAAAAAAATCAAGGGAGAGCAACATCCTCTAAAAGCTGTAATTCCTCAGGTTTGTCATAATTTAGAAGACATAAAATATCTTTTCAAGTGTAATGGATTGTTTCTTTAAGATAAGCTCAATGATTATTTTTGTTTCATCTTTAATGAAAATTGAATATAGTTTTGCTGGGTGCTGCAGTATATATATTTTATTTGTTATAGAGAAGAGGAAAATAAAATTTGGTCCATAAAGGTCATTCTAGAAAGATGAAGGAAATTGTTGGTAATTTTCAAATTGTCACATAGCACATTGGCAGCTGAAAAGTATCATTTTTTTCATTGATTTTACTTTTCTTTTTCTTTTTTCTTCTTTTCCTTTTCCTTTCCTTCCCTTCCCTTCCCTTCCCTTTCCTTTTCCTTTTCCTTTTCCTTTTCCTTTTCCTTTTCCTTTTCCTTTTCCTTTTCCTTTTCCTTTCCTTTCCTTTCCTTTCCTTTCCTTTCCTTTCCTTCTCTTCTCTTCTCTTCTCTTCTCTTCTCTTCTCTTCTCTTCTCTTCTCTTCTCTTCTCTTCTCTTCTCTTCTCTTCTCTTCTCTTCTCTTCTCTTCTCTTCTCTTCTCTTCTCTTCTCTTCTCCTTCTCTTCTCTTCTCTTCTCTTCTCTTCTCTTCTCTTCTCTTCTCTTCTCTTCTCTTCTCTTCTCTCTTCTTTTAATATGAAGCTTTCTACAGCTTTATGTAGGCAGTCTACCTTAAAATATTCATTTAAATTGTTACATAATTTTTTTTTTTTAAGCTTACAAGAAATCATTAATGGTCCCTTAAAATAAAGCTACACTTTCTAAAGAAATATCCCAAGTATTTGCCATTGCCGTTGGGAAGGATTTCTTAGCTGGGAGTTAAACACCAGGTGACCACCACCCACCATTTGAATTTGTACATCCTTCTGATGGGAGTACTTTTTAATTTCAAGTCCTGTGGAATGGCAAAAGTCATTTTAAAGATACTGCTTTTGTAACATATTGGTTGCAAAAGGACTGCACAGACTTGGAAAAAATTGTGTTCCAGCTGTAGAATTTCATCAGCGGTTCATCACTTTCCAGCCACAGTCACTTCAGCCATAAGATAAACCCAATTTGTATCTTTAAATGCGCAGTTGGTGGCGATCAGGAGTGGTCCAGGAGGGGGGCCAGGGACAAGAGAGTCTGAGAGGGAAAGATGGAAATCAGGAGGGAGTCCACTAAGGTTTCTGGTTCATACAGTGATCTTTCTGGTAGATTCAGCATGACAATGCAAATAAACCAAATCAAAAATGCACAAACTAACAGAAAGATCACTGCATCAACCAAGAGCCTTCCCAGAATGTGGGCTATGCCCCCAGACCCTCCCAGGCACCATATTTCCATAATAGGAACCCTTCCCCGGGCAGTAGGTTTTGATTCATGCAGTGATCTTCTTGGTAGTTTGTGCACTTAAGAGGTGGTTCCTTTGTGCAGCACCATGTTGAATCTTCCCACCACCCCCACCCCCATTTCCCTGTAGTATGAGTAGTATTTTTTTTATTGATGTATGGGTTTGAAGTGAAAGTAGTTTGCACTCAAACTTGGATAGTAGTAAAAATATATAAATAAATAAATAAGTAAATAAAATAAATTCTTTAACTGGGTATTTTACATTGGGTAGTGGGAGGACATTCAAGCGGAAATTATGAGTACTGACAACAATCTGTTTCATCATCATCCTTGTGTTTTTAGTTTTATATAAAGAAAAAAAACATTCACATTTCCAGTAGAGTTATTGATAGTTTAGAGAAAAAGAAATGAGGTTGTGCCTATATGAGCTAATTTATCTAATGTTTTACTTTAGGCCAAGCGACTTCTGATAGGTCAGATTCGTCGGCTCAGGAAAAGACTAAAGAGAAAGGGCAGATATGATGAAATGAGGGAAATTATGGAGGAGGAGAAGAGACTCACAAAGCTGGAACCGCGAACCCTCGAATCGACCAGGGAGGCCGACGAGACCACTGTGCAGGAGAATGACGAGGAAGTGGAGCAAGAGGAGGCCTTGGATGCCTTTGCCGACTATTATAACAAGGCGTACGAGCCTCGCATTTTGGTCACGTCCAGCGATAATCCACATAAGGTAAGTTTAGTCTTCTTGTTCTCTTTCTTTTTGTTTATGCGGTTTGGGATTTAATGCATAGCCTTTAAATCTAATTAATTTGACTCCTTTGGATTAGCATTCAGTTTTGTGTTGATGCAATTTGGTTGTTATTTGTTTTGTCTTGTAGAGTATCCACCTTTTTGAGGCAATTTTAGTTGTTACATATTCTTATAAAATTACTCTTGTTTCTTTACAGGCAACTGTTTCTTTTATTCGTGACTTATGCCGCGTAATACCCAATGCTGAACCCAAGTGGCGCAATAGAGCAAGTATTAAAAAGACGGTAAAAAATGCTAAGGCGAATGGCTTCACAGATCTTATTTTTGTTAATGAAGATAAGAGAATGCCAAGTAAGTATTGGAGATGAAAGTAAGAAATTTTAAAAATATAACATCTAAAGATTCATCAGAATAGCATATTTTTTCTTCTCCTTCATTCTTCTCTCTCCTGCTGCCAATTGATGAAAAGCATTGTTGGATAGTTGTAGGGTAGAAGCTTACATATGAATATTAAGCTGCAAACAGGACAGCAAAGGTCTGTAACATCCCCTTTTGCTTTTACTCTAGTGTCCATAGAACAAATCTACCTAAAAAGAATTAAAGATGGCAGTTTTTCATCATTTTGTTTTATATTTTCAAGGAGTGTTGAAGCTAATAAAACCTGTCAGTTTTATCCATGTTTCAAGTTGATGATAAGAGTTCTTTTCTAAGGGATCAAATATGGTTATTTTCTTACTAAAGTGTTTGTAAAGGTAAAACATGGGAGAAGTTGTTTGACCTGTTGACTATGTTCTATGTTCCTCCCACTTTTCTTCCCTTTCCTCCTCCTCCTTTCTCTCGCCCTCCTTCCTCTTCCACCTTCTTCATCATCTTTCTCCTCCTTCCTCGTCTCCTCTTCTTCCCTCCTTCTTCTTCTCTCCTTTTTCATCCCTCTTCCCCATCTCCTCTTCCTTTTCCCTCTCCTACTTTTATCCTCCCCTCCTCTTCCTTTTTCTTCTCCTCCCTCTCTCCTCCTCTCCTCTTCCCTTTTTTTCTCCTAATTCTCCACTCCCCCTCCACTTCCTCTTATTTCTCTTCCCATTCTTCTTCCTTTTTCCTTTCTACTCCTTTTCCTCTTCCTTTTCCTATCATACCCTTCCACTGCTTTCCTCCTCCTCCTCCTCTTCTTCCTCTTCCTCTTCCTCTTCCACCCCCTCCTTCCTTCCATCCTTCCCTTTTCCCTCTTCAACTTTTTTTTCTCCTCATTGTCTCCCCCTTCCTCTCTCTTCCCTCTTCCTCCTCCTGCTCATCATCTTGATTTTGGAAAGAATTTTCATGATGGTCCTCTTTTTCCTAGATGGTCTGCTCCTGATTCACTTGCCGGAAGGACCAACAGCACTCTTCAGGGTCAGCAATACTCGCGTCGGTAAATCTGTGGCTAAGAAGCATTACATAGGAGATACTGATCATAGGTACACTTTCAACAAACAGAACGAGTTTTAAGATTGTAAATGAAAAGACATATTTGTATATTTTTGGGGGTGTGGAAGGGAATGTAATTTTGTGTCTTATTTTTAGGAGACTTGTCCTAATTGTTCTTTTCTCTGCAGACCTGAGGTGATATTAAACAACTTCACAACCCGGCTTGGACGAGTTGTTGGACGTATGCTAGGAGCGATATTCCATTACGAACCTGAGTTTAAGGGCCGGAGAGTGTGCACCTTTCACAACCAGAGAGATTACATATTTTTTAGACATCACAGGTAAGGCTGTTGTCATTTGTTAGTGGATTGCTCTAGAAAACAGTTGTATTAAAGTAGTTTATATTGGATATGGACACCAGTATTTATGGTAGACACATGGGCATCTATATTGAACAGACAATTTGACTTACTGCTGCTTACTGTCAATCTGTTTCTTTGTTTTCTCAGCCTAGTAGAGCCCTTTTTCATCTAAGAACAGAGTTCACTCTTAAAGAGAATGAAGTTACATCCTAATTATAAGTTTTCTATTTTTCTATTTTAGAATGCTTCTCCCCAAGCTGTGAGGAAAGGAAAAGGATTTGATTTTTTTCCCTTTTTTTGTCAGTTTAACTCTCTATTTCAGATATGAATTTAGGAACCAACAGAAGGTAAGCTTGAAGGAAATGGGACCAAGGTTTACGCTGCGCCTCCAGTGGCTCCAGCAGGGGGCCTTCGAAGGGGACTTCGAATGGAACCTCAAGAGACACGACATGGAGACCTCCAGAAGAAGATTCTTCCTTTAGTTAGAATTAAAAATATAGATAAATACATTGTTATTGCCATTAAAGTGGGATTGTACTTTAATGTAAGACCATTTCTTATAACGTAATGAAAGCTATTCATTTCATATTATTGTCAAGATTTTAATCCATTGACCAATTTACTGAGCAGGAAAGAAAACATATGTGTAAGAAATATATGTTATTTGGTTATCATGGAGGTCTTCCATGTGGACAGCCATGAGCACTATGAATGTCTGTGGTGTATGAAGCATCATTACATGCAGGTTGAATGATTAATAAAAAAAATATAAAAAATGATATTGTGTTACTATCATGGTAATAATATTGCCAGTGTGGAGTGGGAGGATAAGATTATTTATTAGTTCAAGTTTAACATATATATATGCATAAGATTGGAGAAAAAGTTTACTTCTGTTACTTTTGGCACTTCATGTAATTATGATATAAGCATATACCTAGATATGTGTCAAAAAAGAAGAACGGTTATTGTTTTATAGGCCAAAGATGCCAAAGTCAACCCTTAAAGGTCCCAGCAAGCACTACTTGATAGAGACAGAGACACAGACAGACAGAAAGAGGGGGAGGGGAGAGAGATTCTGATTGAGGCAGACATTTTGGATATACATAAAAAAACATGGATTCACACACTAGCAATGTTATGGTTAAGGGAGCCATGTCAAATGAAGCCAAAGACCAGTCTGTTCACTGGTGGATGGCAGAATAGCAATGAAATTCATTTATTCCGATGAAAATTGAAGTAAGTGACAGCAGCCATCCCTTGGATGTGTGACTTCATTACACTACCGGCCACTCGTGGCCACTTCGATGGTGTTCCAGGAGAAAAGTGAGAGTTCCAGGTAACCTACTTGCTTGTGTGTAAACTCTGCTTTTCTCTTGTTCTGAGTTATCTTTTTTTTCTCTTTTTTTTTTGCTTAGGCAACTTATGCTGCCCTTCCCTCTTGCTCTTCCCCCTTCTTCCTTCCCTCTCTCATCCCCCTCTTTGTCCTCCTCCCTTGCCCCACCTCTCTCTCTGTGCCACTCTTACATTGATATATGATTAATTACATCGAATATTCCTAGAAGAGATGCCTTTTGTTAAATAATTCAAGAATTATATATAAAGCGTTTCCTTTATTTATTCTCCCCCCCCCCATCCCTTGTTGTCGTGGGGGTCTTAGGAGGCGGAGACTGGGACCCAATGATGGGGAACTCCCCAACCTTGGGACTCAGCCCTCGACTCAACTAATTTTGCATGGTCTTTTTTCCCTTCCTACTTTTTCGTTTCTGTCCCTTCTGTCCCCTTCTACTATCCACTTCCTAAGGTGTAAGAGCCGTGCTGAAAGGATGACTCTGTGCCAGTCCTGAACGGCCTGAGGAAGCCATGGGCACGGTATTCCTCTGCTTAGTTGCCTAGTCCTTACTCTTCAAGGGGACCCTGAGGGGTGGACTGTTTCTCTCCCCAATATACTCCAGGCTTACCATGGCCAATAATGAAGATGTAATCCCACTATTAGAAGCTTGCCCCTTCATTAAATAGCCCCAACAATTCAAATCCTCCCGATTCCCTGACCCCAGGCTCTCCTTAGACCACGGCTCTGAACACTACAACTACCCCCTCCTCAATGCCTATTAGTACAATATCCACCCTAGTCAGCACTCAACCCCAGGAGACATTTCTACTCTCCCAACATGCTCAACTTCAATACCTCTACCTCCACAACTTTCAACGACTACCCCGCCCTCCCTTATTGCTACTTTACAGCCTTATTGTCCACCTTATTGTGCAGCGGTAGCGATCTCGTCTAGCAATCTTGCTGACCTGCGTTCGAATCCCTCGCCACCAGTGGATGGTAACCCCGGCCATTCCTTGCACACGGGATGATTTAGAAGCAAGATAAAACAGACAGTATGTCACACCAAGAATATCCACTGTAACAAATGGAATCAAACTAAATTATTTTAATTAATTAATTACCTTCCTCAACACTACTCTCTCTTCTACACGCCCTCGTGCATCCACTACCCTCATCTCTACAAAAATCTTAAATACTCTATTTATTCCAGTCAAATGGTACCGATTTTTCGTGATCCCTCCCCCAGCTCCCTACTCTGACAACATCTCTTCCAGCAATCTCCTAAAACAAGTAGGCAAAGTCTCTTTCCGTAGCCGACCCGACCGCTCCCGTCTCGTCACAGTAACATCTGAAAACCAAGCTATAGCATTATCAAATCTAACTGATGTATATGGTAACCCCATCCTTGCAGAACCCCATCCAACCCTCAATACTTGCACCTGAACTGTTTCTATCTCCCCAGCAAATTGCTGGGGAGATAGAAACAGATAGATTGTGGAGAAGACTTACTCGCCTGTCTCACAGACTATGATGCGGCATCAGTACAATGCTACTCCATTCCTCCCAGAGGTCATCGTAAGAACCCCACTAACATTGCCAAAATTACTTTCCGTAAACACGACCTTCCCTTTAATGTTTACATAGGTGGAGAATCCCTCCCTGTCCGACCATATCAACCTCCTCCTCGTCAGTGACAAAATTGTTGGCGTTTAGGACACTCAACCAAACAGCCAGATGGCCACTATGTGCCCAACCTGGCCATACTCGATCAAACTGCTTTGCACAATCACGCACATGTGCCAACTGTGACGCCCCCCATAATGTATTTTATAGGGGCTGCCCCCCCTACAAATTTGACTCTGAGGTAGCAACTCTCAGATTCAGACTTGGGCTCACTCTACGTGAAGCCAGACAGGAAGCACATCGACGAGGTTTCTCTCTCACTCCCTACTCCAGTAATGTCGCTCACACTGCCACTCCCTCTACCTACCAAGCTCCCTCCACACTCAAAGTGACTACCGATATCCATCCTCCTCCTACTCATATCCCCCCAACACCCTATCCTCCTACCCCCTTCCAACACAGCCCATCCCCCCAGACTCCAGCCCCACCTACTTTAACCCTCCCGCCATCCCCTCTATCCCTTCCACTTCCTCCTGGATACACACGTGAATCCCTTATTTCACAAATATCCCTTCCCCAGACCCTCCACCTCCAAATACCCCTCCTGATACAACACCACCTCCCCCCTCTCATTCCTTATCCCACCCTCTAACTCCCTCCCCTTCAAATTCTCCAACACGTACTGCAACCGTTATCACTCATAAATCAACGAAAGTATAACTATCCTTCATTGGAATATTCGCGGTTTCCGTTCTCACAGACCCGAGCTTCGTCATATCCTTTCCTCTTATAACCCATCCATTATATGCCTCCAAGAGACTTTTCTTACACATCCTCCTATACCAATCCCCAATTACCATTCGGTCTCTTCTCCACACTCCCTTTATGTCTCGTCCATACTTATCAATCAGAAAACAACTTGTGTCATACCTCCCTTTCAAACCACTGTCCCTTGCACAGTTATTCGTATTTTTTTTCACCGCTGGATCACAGTTATTTCAGTCTACTTCTCCCCTTCCCACCCCATTGACTTTGTTGCTTTTGAAAATCTAATTTCCCAACTTCAACCACCTTTCCTCATAGTTGGTGACTTTAACTAACGCCACACTCTTTGGGTGATTCTGTCGCCAACTCCCGAGGCCGATCTTTAGAGCGCTTCCTCTCCACAGCTGACCTTATTATTCTAAATTCAGACACACTCTGATACACGTACGCAATTTTTTTCATGCATTGACATCTCTCTATGCTCCCCTTTTCTTCATTTAGATTGGTCAGTTCTAGAGCACTATAGTGACCACTTTCGAGTTCTCCTTTCTCCTACTTCATACGTACCACTTCCTAACTCCCCACGCTGGTGCTTTGATAGAGCCGACTGGCGTACTTTCACTTCACTATTTGCTATTCATATCCCTCCATTCTCCCTCTCATCCATTTTAGATATGATACAATGTTTCACAATGATTCTGATTGCACTAAAGCACTTAAAACGTGCAGCCTGGAACAGTTACCACTACAAGAGAGGTACCCCAAATAAACTATCATCCCTTATCTCCTTCAAAAAAACATCCGCTTGTCTTCGTCGTACAATCCGGAATAGTAGAACAAATAGCTGGCGAAATTATGTTTCCTCAATTACATCCTCTACATCTATTTCAAATGTTTGGCGCCGAATCCATAAACTATCAGACAAACTTCCCCCCCATCCAGCCCCCGTCCTCCATATTCGAGATACCCTCATCTCTGATCCTCTCCAAGTCGCCAATGAACTGGATGGCTATTTCAGCCAGGTCAGTAGTGGTTCTCACCTTTCTCCACACTTCTCTTCCATTAAGACCATCAGGGAACGCACCCACATTACCTTCACCCCATCCTCCGCTGAGTCCTATAAAGCTCCTTTTTCTTCCTCTGAACTCACTGCAGCCCTACAGTCGTGCCGCAACACTCATGAAGGCCCTGGCGGTATTCACTACCGTATGCTCCGGCAACTCCCATCTTCCTCTTTATCCTTCCTATTAACAACTTGCAACCGCATATGGACATCAGAAAATTTCCCTTCTCATTGGCGAGAAGCTCTGTGTTGCGTGGTGCATCGGTAGCGATCTCGTCTAGCAATCTTGCTGACCTGCGTTCAAATCCCCCGGCCATTCCTTGCACACAGGGGATACCTTAGAAGCAAAATAAACAACAAACACTATGTCACACCAAGAATATCCATTGTAAGAAATGGAATGAAATTAAACCTTTTAATTAAACCTCTTATCCTCCCCTTCCTGAAACCCAATAAATCGGGTAATCTTCCTCAAGACTATCGCCCCATCGCACTAACTAGCTACTTGTGCAAACTACTAGAGTGAATGGTTAATTTCCGCTTAATGTGGTATCTTGAATCTCACAATCTTCTCTCTCCTTTCCAGCTTCGTTTCCGCCGTGCCCGAAGCACAGCTGACCCCCTTGCTCATTTTGAGACATATACTACATCTGCATTTGCACGCCATGAACCCGTACTAACTATATTCTTTGACCTAAGAAAAGCATATGACACTACATGGCGGTACCATATTCTCCAACA